AGGGCGAGGCGTCTGAGGCAGCACCCGACATCTGAGCGAAGTGACAGGCCTCGGCGCTTGAACTCCTCAACGAGGGGCAATGGCCAACGCGATTTTTAAAAAAATGTAGATAGGTATTGTATAAGCGCCTCGCGGGTCAATACCTTCAAGCGGAGTCTGTGCGTCTGGCCGGTCAGCGCTGCCTGCGCCTGTGCGGCTGCGATGGCGGCTGGCGGGAGAACGGATGAGAAGAAGGCGGATTATATATGTATGTAGTGTATCATGCAGCCTGCCCTAGTATTCAAGATGCTCCAACTTGCAGCGACGTGCGATACCTACTGGAACGTCTGATTCACTCGCAAACGTGACGGGTCGAAATCCGAATTAGTGGCCAGTCCGGGGGGAATTTCGAAAAAAGTCCGGTGAAATCCTCTGGAGCAACTCAGGAATCGGAGTTGGTCTAGAAAAGTTAGTTGCAGATTCGGAAATGGGGCGAATTTCTTTTCACTTCCTAACGCTGAGAATCGAAAATGTTAGTTTCATTAAGTATGTTGTCGACCCTAGAGGCACCTGAGTGGCACACGAGGTGGGCTCCGACCGTCGAGGAGGGCTCTATTCGAGGCTGACCCCACGCTAAAGGGGGGTTTGCTGGCAGTCACTTGCACAGGGGGGGTCTGGGGGTCCTCCCCCAGCGAAACGAAAATTTGAAATTCGGTGCCTACTTTAACTCAATTTGGCTTACACCGTTGACGTCACCGTCATGCGCGCGCGTGTCTCAGTCCTGACACGCCCTGACTCAGGCGAGCTGCCTTCCAATGCAGAGCTCCTTCACGCGCTGGGCGTCGACCTGCACGTCGTCGCTCAGGTGAGTGCGGCGTCTCCCACTGCTTCCGGAGCGTGTGCTGCGTCAGCCAGTTGGCCACAAGCGCGCCTGGAGGGGGAAGCAGCGGCGACTCGACTGGGCCGTGTGGTGTATGCTCAAAGGTGTGGCCGCGGTCTGGCCCGGCTCGTCCCCCGCCCGGCGGCGGCCCACGGCGTCCCTAGTTGAGGCTGAACGTGATCGGAGCCGAGTTGCGCCGAGCCCGCTGCGCTGCCGGCGCCGAGACCACCGCCGTTTTCCGCTTTGGCTCCAGCGCCACCTGCGGCGTGTGCACGTACTCGTCGAAGAACTCCGCGCGCCTCTCGAGCACAGCGTCTTTGGTCGCCGCCATGAGCAGTCTTGCCTCTGACGTCCACCCGGATGCATTCCCCGTCAGTTGTCTCTCGACGCGCGCCACGACCTCCCAGCACTGCGAGGGATGCTTTGCAGGCCGATGGATCGGCTCCGGCTGCGCTGACACAAAACATGGCGGCCTGGGTGGAGCACGGGTGCTGCGCCCTCCGTGCGCGAGCCATCGAGCATGGACCCAAAGAGGAGGAGCAGCGAGGCCAAAGCCGACGCGCACCACATCGACGGGTACAATGCAATTTCACGATGGACGTCACTATGTATTTTGAAAGTTGAGCTACTCAAAATCGCTCGATGCTGAACCTTTTCCTTCGCATGCTGGTCAACTCGTGGGGCGCTTGCGCTCGGACCATACCACCGGGTGCTCGTGGCGAGGCCATAGCTGCGAGAATAAACTGATCGGGCAAATCGTTGGTCGTCGTTCGCTTGTCGTCGTCGTCGTGAGACCAGTCGTCGTGTGCGTCGGCGACAACCGTCGTGCGTGGCAGGTGGCCAAGAAGTGGTCGGATCAGCTTATTCTTCCGGCTATGGCCTCGCCATAAGCACCCGATGGGATGGTCCAAGCGCGATGCGCTGAATCCCAGCCTGTCATGAGAAGGAAAAGGTTATCTGCACCCCAACCCCCCTTTAGCGTGGGGTCAGCCTCGACATCAGCTATCGACACTTAGCGCGCAGGGGTGACCAATGTCTACTTCTTCGTCCCGGCCACCACTCTTCCCCCTCCCCAGAGCGGAATCACGCAACTAATTCGGATTTCGACCCTGGCGTCATTATGACGTATGCCTTAATAACTATGAATGAATATAAACCGACGACGATGAGAGAACTCGAGCGGAATAAATTAAAATTGTATAATTTTGTTATAATAGTACTCAAGTGCTATCGGCAAGATGTTAGGCGCAATCGACGTCAGATTTGACACCGGGCGGCTACAGCAAAATTCAAGCACGGCTGGTCTTGCCCCTTTGATGAAAGGGTGCCCCTTCGCGTGCCCTTGCGTGCGAGCACTGCAGGCGTCCGCATCGCAGGCACCGTCAAGGATCGGCGGCGAGGCGCAATGGTCGAGCGAGCGCGGCGCGGATCTTCGCGTCCTTCATCTCCCGCAACATCTGCATGATGACGCTGGTCTTCACGTCCTGCCGCACCAGCTCGACGATGAGCGAGAAGGCCTCGGCGTCCAGCGAGAGGCCCACCGACTGGGCAAGCTCGTAGAGTTGCGCTGCGCCGGCGTGGGGGGAGGA